ATTTCAGTTCAGTGCCATCAAGCACGAAATATTCATAAAGAGGTTTTGGTTTGAAAATCAGAGTCTCATCAATTATTTTTGATGGTTCTGAGTATCCCAAGCCTCTCCTTTTGTTTCTGCTAAAGCTATAGATGATTGAAGCCATCTTCCTTCTATTTATGCTTTTAGCTAAGAAGTGTTGAAAAGATTTATCATATTTGATTACTTCATCAGTAATAGATATTCTAGAAGTGATCTCTTCTTCCAACTTTGAGACTATTTTTAAGAGCAAAATTTGATTTTTCTAAAGAAAATATCTTTTTCATTTAAATTAGAACCGTTTTTCCCACTCTTAGTAAAGTTCTCAGAAGTAACTATAAAAGTATTTTTCAGAGTTTTGTGTTTACTTAAAAGAAGTTGATATTTTCCCATCACTTCTGATAAACCAGACTCAAGTTTAGTACGAGAGAGAGAGAGAGAAGAAAATACTTGTGTCATCAGAGTCTGACTCATCATCAGTTGTCAGCTTACAGTCTGAGATAACTTCACTAATACTTGTTTTGGCCATGAGTGTCACAATAGCATGTTCTTCATCAGAAACTTCCTCTTTTGACTCTGAATAATACCACGTTACCATGAGACCCTTCTTTGCTTTAAAAACTTTTTTGGGTTTCTTGTCTTTTCTGAGCTTTGGACATTGATTCTTGTATTATCCAAGCTTTTTGCACTCATAACACGTAACTTCTTTTCCAGAAGCTTTCTTCTGACCAAATATAGATTAAAATTTGCATTTTTTTCTTCTTGGTCCTCTGAACTTTTTCTGTCTATGTTTCCATAGATGATTTATCCTTCTAGATATTAGTGAAAGTTCATCTTCATCTGAATCTTCTTCAGATTCTTCTCCAGCTTGAAAAAACTTTGTCTTTTCAAACTTAGACTTCAAAGCCATAAATTTACCTCTTCTTTGAGGTTCATTTTCTTGAAGTTCAATCTCATGACTTCTTAGAGAATTGATTAGCTCCTCAAGACTAGTATTTTTCAGATCCTTGGACAACTTCAAGGCAGACTTCATCGTATTCAATTTCTTAGGCGGACTTCTGATAATTTTCTTGACATGATATGCAGTAGAATATCCTTTATTCAGAACCTTGAGTCTTGCAACAAACATCTAGAATCATGAAAACATAGTTTCCACATATTCATCGTCTTCCATTCCGAAGGCTCCATATTTCTGGATTAAGGACAGAGCCTTTGTCTCCTTAACTTGAGCGTTGTCTTCATGAGTCATCTGAAGAGAATCAAAAATTGACTTTGCAGTCTCTCTATCTGTGATCTTCTCATGCTCATTGTAATAAATATCACTCAGTAGAATTGTTCTAACTTTGTAGTGGTTCTTGTAAGTATTTTTCTGAGCATCTGACATTACACTTCTTACAACTTTTTACCTTATGAATCTATTGGGTAACTATAGCCATCAACTACCAGATCCCATTGATCCAAGTCAAGTTCCAAAAAAAACTTTACATTCCATAAAATAACTACAAGTGACTCACGTACAACCTCTAAGACACACTAATCTTAAACTTCTCAAGGATTCTGACCAACTGGTCCCTTAAGGCATAATCAAATAATAATTTGAAAAAGATTTGTTTACAATAGATTTGCTTCTACACAAGCTGATAGTAAATAGTATTTCAAGAACAAATAGACTTAAGAAAATAAAGGAATGCTTATGAATAGTCTTGTGAGAGAACGTGTGAATTAGCAGCCTTTTTCCGTTGTCTTCATGCATATATATAGCCAATAAAATAATATATCTGTTGGAGGGAATTTCTAGAAATTCCAGAAAGTTGAGAGTTTGTTTCAACATGGAGGACAATATCGCACAACACACCCGTCCTTTCATGGTAGTGGAGAGAAACGTTTGTTTGTACCATGTACTATTGTACCATGTAACCTTATCTTCTTATCTTCTTGACTTCAGAGGCTTCTGATTGAGCATGAGTTAGAAGAAAAAAAATAACACTTGGGTCATCAGAAATTCGAGTCTTTAGAGTCTTCAGAACTTTGTCTTCAGAGTCTTCAGCACTTGGTCTTTAGAACCCTTTATCTTCAAAAACATAAGTCTTCAGCATCTGGACTATTCATCAAAACTTTTGTCTTTAGATCTTCAGAACTTGGTTTCTTTTACCGCGTATCAGAGTCTAAACTTCAGATTCTTCTGAAGTGGTTTGCTACCGTTGATTAGAACTTGTGTAGCGTAGAAGCGGAACTTGGTCTCTTCTAATGACTTGGCAATGCCTTTCATCAGAAACAGGACCTGTTTGTTAAATACTAAAAATAACAAACATTAGAGTACCAAAACAGTTCATACAAACATACTCGTTGTTATCATCAAAACTCAGAGGTATAATTGCATAACTAAATCTTGTTCTCACAATATTCACTTAAGATAATGAAATTTTGGAACTTAAAAAAGCTTAGAAAATTTCTCAATGGTGGATTGCAAGCGCAGAAAAAACATTTCCAATGTTTGATACTGATAACTCCTTACTTGGAGCAGATAACTCTTTAGAAGTTGATTGCATCCATGAAACTTTAAAATAATGAGCACAAAATATATCCAACAGGATCTAGATTAGAGCAAAGATGCATTGTTCTCCAAGAACAACAACTAATATGATAACATTGCATTTGTTGTAATAATGTAATTTAATATTTTGTGTAAATAATGTAATGTTAAAAAATAACTTATACACCTTTTACCTTGATTTTTGTCCGATACCAAAGGTATAATTTTGGTGTGATAATTGAGGATACTGATCACCGTCCTTAAAAAAAAATTGATATATGTTGGGGGAGATTATTAGGAGCATTGATCCATAGTATAGGAACAAGCACCTTTGAGAGAGACACATCACTTCTCCACCTAAAACCTTAAGGTGATAGGTGAGTCGGTTCTCCCACTTATATATGCTTAAGTCTCCACATTCCTGTCCAATGTTGAACTATTTCCCCACTTACTCACACTTGTTATATTATTTCAACAATATACATTTATAGAAATATTATATGTAGACAATGTAATATTATGGATAAATTATTTATTTATTAATATTCTGTAGTTTGTAACGAGTTTAAAAAAACTATCAATCTTACTCTTCGGAGTTATTGATAAATTGAGAGGTTTAATGCGTTAGTTTTCAAAATATTTTCGAATGAATGTGCATAAGCATTTTTCTTCAGTGTTTTAAAAAGTGAGGAGATAAAATTGATACTTTTTATGACGCTCTTTGTTATCTTACTTCTTTAGCTTATGTTAATATATTTTACATCAAATAAAATATATTTTTTTTTTAATAATGTATAGTTGATTTTTGTACACTTCAAAAAATATTTTGTATCCATATTGTAAAACAATTATATAATAATGTAATAACCGACATGTTCTCTTCTGAACGGATTTTTAATCGATACGTACCTCATCAATTATTTCTCCAATATCTTTAATTTTCAAAAAATGGGTGATATATATCTCTTGTTTTAATGATTGCGGATTTTCTTTTAAATGTTTTCAAATTAAGGTTTTTTTTTAAGATTTGAAAACTGAAACAATTTTAAAATTATCGATTTGGTTAAATTAATGGGTCATCAGATTATTGGACAGGTTAGTAAATCTCATTGATTAAATCGAATAATTTTTAATATCGGATAACTTTTTAATAATGTAGTAATATGATATATTATAATATGATAATATGAATTTTTTATTGATAATATGATTTTTTTCAAAACGTTATTAATTTATAGTATTATTATATTATATAATTAAATTTTTATTTTTAAAATTTTTTTTAATATTATTTTATTGATTGATTAATAATAATTAAGTTTAATGAAAACTGCATTACAGAGAATCGTTGTAACTAAAATATATAAATTTTTTCTTTTTAACTAAATTAAATATTAAAGAGATTTATGGTATATTTTGTAAAATTATAATTTTAATATTTTAAAATGTTACGTACTCGATTCTTAAAATTTGAAAAAAAAATTATTTAAATTTTAATATTTTTTAGGTATTATAAATAATTAATATAATTAAAAATATTAATATAATAAGATTTTAAAATAAGAACACCAAAATTACGAAAAATTAAAAAATTAAAAAAATGAAAAAATCTACTAATTCACTTGTTTGATCATAAAATCGATAAGTCACACCAATTTTCATTAGATCAATTACAAATATAGTTAGATGATCTTACTTGATTGATTTATCCTCTAATTTATAATCTAACTAATTTGACTAATCAAAACGATTTAAATATTAAAACACTGAATATACCATAGTTTATCCTAACAATATTATGAAATTCTCATTAAATTTTACAAAAAATTTCAACGTAATTTATTGTGAACTGTTTTATCTTAGAAATCAACTTATATAAAACATTTACTTGTAATAAAAAAAATTAAATAAGATAAAATAAGAAATACACAGTGTAAAATAGAATCATAAACAATGTGTATATCCGTTAAATTATAATAATGTTTTAAAACGATTTAAATAATGAGTGATTTCTTATTAAACGATGGCTTAAAATTTATTTAATGCATCTCTATTAAAATCATTCTTCTTTCCAAAAAAAATATTGGTTAAATATATTTTATTGTAATATCTTTTGTTTTAATAATAAAATATATTTTCTCAAATTAATTTTATAACATATTTTCTTTCATAAACTTAATATTCCTTGCTATTGATCGATGATTCCTATGATCCAAAATAATAAACATATCTTTAATATATTTTATGGTAGTATCTCAAATGAAATTTTTTTTTTTACCTATGACTCTTTTTCTCTCTTTCTCTTTCTCTCTCTCTCTCTCTAACTCTAACTCCCTATGGCTCTATAAATAGTTCGTAACGCTTCTCCCTAACCTTTCATGCATTACAACTACACCTTCTCAATCTCTCTCTTTCTTTTTCCTCTCCTTGTTTTCTCCGAACAAGAATCATGGTTGTTCTGTCTAAACCATCCTTAAACAATTTCCTACTCACAAAATCACCATGCAAACCAACAACAACAACAACAACAACTATGTTCAATGGAATACCTGTCATAGACCTTACAGACCCAGATGCAAAAACACAAATTGTGAATGCTTGTAAGGAGTTTGGATTCTTCAAAGTTGTCAGCCATGGAGTTTCGTTCGAACTTATATCGAATTTGGAAAACGAAGCACTTAGGTTCTTTAGAAAGTGTCAGTCGGAGAAAGACCGAGCAGGTCCTCCTGACCCTTTCGGTTATGGAAGTAAGCAAATTGGATCAAACGGAGATGTTGGTTGGGTTGAATATATTCTTCTCAATACCAATCCCGATGTGCTCTCTAACAAGTCACTCACCATTTTCCGTGAAAATCGACAGACTTTAAGGTAATGTTTTGTAAACAGAGTCCCCTGTTTTTGTTTACAAACTCATACAATCGTGGTTGTGTACTGCAATTTAAATTATAAGTATTATTGTGGTTGCAGATTGCAATTTAAAATCTTACCTTTTTTTCGGTCAATATTATAAGTATTTTTTTTAATGATTCATTAAATAATTGATGTATTGATTATACGGTTATTTTGCAGGAGTGCGGTGGAAGAGTATATTGATGCAATGAAGAAAATGTGTTACGAAGTATTGGAACTAATGGCTGATGGATTGGAGATAGAGCCAAGGAATGTGCTAAGCAGAATATTGCGAAATGAGAAAAGTGATTCTTGTTTGAGAATGAACCATTATCCACCGTGCCCTGAAGTGCAACAAGGAGCATTAAATGGAAAGAATTTAATAGGGTTTGGGGAGCATACAGACCCACAAGTGATTTCTGTCTTGAGATCTAATAACATTTCTGGTCTGCAAATCTGTCTTAATGATGGAACATGGGTTTCTGTTCCACCTGATCATACTTCCTTTTTCATCAATGTTGGTGACACTCTCCAGGTTCGAACACGTTTTATCGGGAATGAATTTTCTCCATTTTTAATTTTTTTTTAATTTTGATTTCGCATTTGAATTTTTTTTCTTGCATCGTAACTCATATTTTAGTTGAATTTCCCAAACAAACTAAACTTTTACAATGTGATGAATCAGAGTTTGAATTCTGAGTACATGCAAATCAAAGTTTGGATTTTGTAGGGGTGAAAAACGGACCAAAAATCCTTTACTTTTTATGTCTCTTTTTTTTAGAATTTGTTAATTCATCTTTATACATTTTTAACGTATCCATGCAAAATGTTTAAAATACATTTTGATTTTGAAAATTACTCTATTTTAAATATATATTTCTGAAATCACTCATGATAAGAATAAGAAATTGTTTTTTTTTTTTTTTTTTGCTAATAAACACTTTAGTCACTTTTAAACTTTATGGATGGTAAGTGCAATAGAGCGTGCACCATCTTATTTTTTGGTTAAAGTTAGGTCTATAATTTCCCTCTCAATTTTTATTGATTTAAGGTTTCTAATTCTTATCTTTAATTTATCTCAAGCGGTGAACAAGTTGGTGTGCCGACCCTAAAGATATCTATTCACATTTATAAACCTCAAAGATAATTATTTTAAGTTGAGAATGATTGAAAAAAAAAACAAAAACAAAATACCCAAAATAAAATGCATACACACTCTACAACTTCATTGAATTATTCAAACAACAGAGACTATTAGATTAATCAAAAAGAAATTTTGTCTTAGAATCTTGATATTAGGTTGAATACAAATAAACATTAAAGCAAAAGAATATTGATTTAAATGTGAATGCAACATCAAGCTTGATCATCGAGTTGCATGCCATAAGAGGTCTTCAATTATTATACTCTTTCTAAGTGTCGTGTTGACACAAGTCTCACATAACCTTTTTAGTACAAAAAGAAACAAACATCCATCACATGTATTCATATTTTTATATAAAAAAATTCCAACATAGTTGAATCATATGTGTGTTGAAATTGATGCAGGTATTGACTAATGGTAGGTTCAAAAGTGTAAAACATAGGGTTTTATCTGACACAACAAAGTCAAGGTTGTCGATGATATACTTTGGAGGACCAGCCTTAAGTGAAAAGATAGTGCCTATAGCATCACTATTGTTAAAGAAAGAAGAAAGTTTGTACAAAGAGTTCACGTGGTGTGAGTACAAGAAAGCTATGTATAATTCAAAGCTGGCTGATTATAGACTTGGGCCTTTTGAAAAAACTTATGGCAATTAATTTTGGCACATGCTATTTGGACTTTCCTTTTGGGGGGATTCCTATAGTTGACTCTACTTTTTTGACATATATATATTTTTAGAAAATGCATAGGTTGTTTGTTTAACATGTCATTCCTTTTTATCTTTGCTTTCTCTTGTTTATTTTAAATGTAATAGTTACTATATTGCAATGAAAACCCTAGTAATTTATCTTTTATCTTGTTGTGTTATACTTTATGCGTTTCTTTATCATTTTAATTTGAAGTTGTGGATTTGAAACTGTGATTTTTCACTTTTTAATGTTTAGTGTTTGAGTTTTATTGTAAAATTTTATTGTGTTACACATTTCGTGTACTTTTTTACAAATTCAATTTTATTTCTTGTGAGAGTGGATAACCGAGTTTCATCGCATGTTTAATCATAGGCTAGCATGTGTGAAGCGAGTCTCTCGTGTGGATAAATGGTGGTTGAACTTGGATATTAATTTGAGAATTCAAAATTTTGCATGTTTTTAAACATTATTTTGGAGGTCACAAATCTAAAGAGAATTTAGAAAGTTTAGTGTTGGATATGAGAGTAACATGAAATAATATTAACACAACTAAAATATGAGACAAGAGTGTAAGAATGAGAAGAAACAATGTTAATTCAAACTCTTAGATGATTATAAGACGATTATAAAACTACAATATATGTTCTCTATTTATAAGAGTCTCATGCATAAGTGGATACATATTTAGTGAATTCTATGTAATATTCTCTTCATCTTAGAAACGAATGATTCCTATTACACTGACCTTTTTTTCTATAAAATAAATATGGCTTTATATCTTCACAATCTCCCACTTAAAGTCATTTTGTTTGCTTCCAAAATTTCTCTCCCTTGCTAATTTCATGTTGCTACGTTTTAGATATGTCATAAGAGGATCCGCACCAATAAAACTTGACAAAGTTGATCATCTTTGTCATAACATCTGCTAGATTGCCTTTTATGTGAATCTTATGCATGTCCACAATCTCTTCCTCCACTACTTCACGAACGAAATGTATTGAACTCCTATGTGCTCTGTCCTAGAATGAAAAGTTGGATTTCTTGCAATATACAAGACACTCTGACTGTCACAATACACAATAATTTTCTATTGTTTGTGTCCGAGCTCTTCCAATAACCTTTGAATTCATATAGCTTCCTTGCATACTTGGGTAGCTTCCATATATTCAACTTCTGTAGTAGATAGAGCTACATCAATCAACAATTTAGATAACCAACTTACCGCTCCTCCTGCAAGTGTAAATACATAGCCAGTAGTAGATTTTCTTTTGTCAAGATCACCTGCATAATCTGAATAAACATATCCTATAACACTAAACTCTAATCCTTCAAAATATAATGCAACATCTGAGATTCCTTTAATGTATCTCAGGATCCTCTTCACAACATTCCAATGATATTTACTCAGATCTGCCATAAATCGACTGATCGATCCAACAGCTTGAGCAATATCTGGTCTAGTATAAATCATTGAATACATAAGGATTCCCACTACTGATGCATACGGTACTCGAGACATTTCTATCCTCTCTACTTCATTGCTAGGAGATATACCTGAGGATAATTTATAGTTGACATGAAGTGGGATAGATATTGCTTACAATCTTGCATGTTGAAGGGCCACAAGACTTTTTCCGAAGATAATTCTTTTGAGAGAGCCAAATCTTCCTATCTTTTATGTCTCCCTGAATTTGCATCCCTAGAATCTTGTTTGCAGGTCTTAAGTTCTTCATGCCGAACTCCATAGCTAATTATGCCTTCAATTCTTGGATTCGATCTTTGTTGGGGCCTACCACAAACATGTCATCCATATATAATAGCAAAATGATGAAATCATTTTCCACAAACCTCTTGTATTATGTACAATGGTTTGAGCTCAGCCTGTTGTATCCAATGCTAATAATGAAGGAATCAAATCTATTGTACCAACATCTTGACACCTAATTTAAACCGTACAGATATTTGGTCAATCTGCAAACCAATTTTTCTTTTCCTTTTTCTTCAAAACCTTCTGGTTAGAACATATATATTTCTTCTTCCAATCTCTGTGAAGAAAAGTAGTTTTTACATCCAACTGTTCAAGATGTAAATCATAAGTAGCACACATAGATAACACTACTCTGATAGTGGTAAGTCTAACCACCAGAGAGAATATTTCATTGAAATCAATTCATTTCTTTTGAGCATATCCTTTAACCACCAGTCTTGCACGATATCTTTGCACTTGATCATTACCACCACGCTTAATCTTATAGATCCATTTGTTGTCGATGGACTTCCGACCCTCTAGAGGTACAACAAGATCCAATATCTTGTTTCTATGTAAGGATTTCATTTCTTCTTGCATTGCTTCCATCCACAAATAAGCATTTGAGCAACTGCCAACCTTTTGAAAGGTTAATGGTTCTCCATCTTCTATTAGAAGACAATATGCATCATGGCTTGCCATAACATAGTTTTACTTCCAATTTGGTTTACTTTTCTGACGTATTGGTCGTCAAACTTCAACACCTTTGGGTTCCTCTAGTTCGTATACCTCGTGCTATGGTCCAACTTCAAAAGAATCATTTTATATAGACTTTCTATTTATATGAACAATAGTGATATCGTTATAAGTGTTGTCATTTTCCTGCTCCCTTTACAGTTCATTCTCTGCAAAGATTACATCCCTACTGAGAATAACCTTGTGGGAAGTGGGATCCTACAGGTGATACCCCCTGACGCCATCAACATAGCCCAAGAATATGCATTTCCTGAATTTTGGATCCAGTTTAGTTCTTTTTTGGGAGTTGCACATCAAGGTCACATCACATCCAACCACATGTAAAGTAGAATACTGAACTGGATTTCCTTTCCACATTTCCATTGGTGTCTTTAAACCAAATTTTGTTGATGGCGATCTATTTATCACATAACAAACAATTTTCACGACTTCTTCCCAGAACGACTTAGCTAATAGAGCAGTTCGCAACAATTGATAATGAGCAATTATAAATTGTCTCATTATACCCTCTTCATTGAAGAATGCCAAAAAATCACCATCTGTATATTCTCCTCTATTGTCTATCCTCAAGCACTTAATCTTATTTCTAATTTCAAGCTCAACTAGTGCTTTGAATTGCTTGAATATTGAAAACACATTTAACTTCTTCTTGATTAGGTATTACCCCTAATCTCCTAGAGTAATCATCAATGAATGATACAAAATATTTTGCTCCTCCCATAGACATTTGCGGTGACTCCCACACATCAAAATGAATCAAGTCAAGTATGTGTTTTTATCTTAGTAGTTGATCTAGAAAACTTCAACCTATGTTGTTTTCTTACCACACAGTGCTCACAGAAAGGTAAAATTACTGATTTGAGCTTGGGTAAGAGATCACGTTCTGCAAGAAATTTCAAGCTTTATTCTGACATACGTCCCAGTCTGCTATGCCACATTGTCGTTAATTTTTCTTTGCTAGTTGATGCAATTTACACTCACCCTCTTGCAACGTCTTTTCCATAAGCATGTATAAATTTGCAGATAGCTTCTCTGCCTTCATCACTACTAGATCACCTTTCACCACCTTTAAGATCCTACCTTTAATATGGATTTTGCACCCATGGTTATCTAATTGTCCAATAGATAATAATTTCTTCTTCAACCCTTTCACATGTTGTACCTCTTGAATTATGTGAATTGTACCATCATACATTTTTAGTTTGATAGTACCGAAACCAGTAATTTATAAGGCGTAATCATTTCCCATGAACACTGATCTTTCTGATATAGGTTGATAAGTATAAAACCAATCTCTTTTGAAGTGCCCTTTCTTGCTACAATTGTAGCATCTCACGTTTATATTACTTCTAGATTTTGATCTACTATGATTTTGGCTCCCACTGGGGCCACATTCCACTGATCTACCTCTCGTCATTGCCAAAGCTTCTACTTGTTTTGAGCTTTCTTGACAGTCTTCCTTATTTATATGTCTGGACTGTTCCCCAAGAATAAATCTGACAACATCATCAAATTATAGACGGTCTATACGATTAATATTTTTTAAGTTGACGACGAGTAGATCATATGAATCTGGTAAGCTCTAAAGTAGAAGTTTTTTGCACTTTCATTTTCTGCTATGCTGAAATTTGCCGATGTAAGTTGAGAAAACATCATATTTAGAGTGTTGGTGTGATTTGACACGAATGTGGATTCACTCATTCGAAGTGTGTAGAGTCTTCTCTTTAAGAAAATTCTATTGTGAAGTGACTTGACTTCGTATAATTTGATGAGAACATCCCAAATCTTCTTTGCAGTTTTCTTTTAGGCAACACTAGACAAAATTGAATCTTCCAATGCTAAGTGCAAATTGCAACATCGTTGTTATCCATATCATTTCACTTCTCATCAGAAATTACCTCGGTTCTATATTCAATTACTGCTAAGCAATTATCCTTCCTCCAGATTTCCTTTATCTTAAGTTTCCACAAGGAGAAATTACTCCCATTGAACTTCTCAATCTCAAATTTTGATATCATGGTAATTTCAATTGAACCGGCTTGCACAATTTCAATGTGAATAACAAAGTATACATGGACATAATTGTATATATTTGTACCGCACACCAGAACAAATCTGGTATACATTAAAAATCACTATAAAAGTATACAATAACACATATGAATAATAACTGTGAACAATATTCGCATTGAAATATGGATCAACACCAAAAGTTCTGATACCGTTGTTAGGTACCAAAATAACGTGAAATAATATTAGCACAACTAAAATATGAGACAAGAGTGTAGGAATGAGAAGAAACAATGTTAATTCAAACTCTTGAATGATTATAGGATGAATATAAAACTACAATATGAGTTCTCTATTTATAAGAGTGTCATGAACTATAAGTGGATACATATTTAGTGAATTCTACATAATATTCTCTTCATCTTAGAAACCAATGATTCTTATTACACTGACC